CTCAATGTCCTAGTTTTAGCAGAAGGAAGAGTTTGGAGTAAAATCCAAAGTTATTTGAGACAATTCATGTCTTAAGTCCTCAGCTTCTAAAACCCCCTCAATTTTAGCCATCTTCTCAATATCTTTTGTGCTGAAACGTGACTGGTCATATGTAGCTAGACAGCTAGTCACCCTTCCCATCAGAGGTTAGCTAGCAGAAAGACCATCATCACCAGCACTCAGGAGAATGGGCTTTATATTTTGCTTTGTTTTGTTCTATTTGAGGCAAGACATTCTTAGAAAACTTGTAATTCAGATTGGCTCTTACATTCCAAAAATGCTGAGGAAATCACCATTTTCCCCCTCTTCCTCCCCTCTCTTTCTTTTCTCCATCCTTGCCTCCCTTCTTTCTTTTCATTTCTGGTTTTGCATTTGGAGAAAGTAGAGGTGAGCCCATGTGTTCGGCTTATAAAGAAAGATACAGAATTTGCCAAAATGAGGTTATTAATTAGTTTTTACTAAAGAATAGAAACTTTAAGTTTTTATCTAAGCTGATTAAATATGAATTTAATTTTGAGGCTACCTGAGCCTCAGTTTTTCTGTAGAATTATCCTTCATCCCAGGCCGAATTGTTTCCCCAATGTTGTGGTATGGTTAGGCCAGAATGTTGGAAAAGTTAAAAACATAATTTTCCTAAACAAATCTTAGGAAAACTTTTGGTTATTTTTTTCTTTAATTGTGCTTTAGAAAATCTCTATACTATATATTCGAGTCAGTTTGATTTAATTCACCTGTGCTTTAAAAAATATGAGATCCCAACAACTGAAAATACAAGAATAAAGAAAGCAGGGCCGGAGCATGGGGAAGTGAAAACAGCCATCTGTACTGACATAAGCAAAACCTTAGAAACAATGTTTAGAACCTCCTAATTTAAGTTTCGATAATGAAACCCTGTTTTTCTTTGCATCCCAAATGTTAGCCATTTTGAGGTGAAATACAGAGAGAGTGAAAGAGCTTAGTCTCTGAGTGTATATCAAATGCACTGTTTCTAGTCACAACTCTCTTTTAGTTCAGTTACATCCCTCATGCTCTTTAAATTAATTCTCTACTACCCAGTAAAACTTTCTGATTAAAATGTTTGACCAGTTGATTCAGTCCCACTGCCAAATACTTAAGAAGTTTAATTTTATATCAGATCATTGTAATAATCTCTTTAGCCAAATAATCAGGTAATAATCTCTTTGACCCAAATATCTCTGACTATGTAAAATCATAGAGGACAGAACACATCCCATCAATGTACCACCATTGTCTCCCCCAGCATTACACCATAAGAAATTTGCATCCCCCAGCTAATCCTAGGTTCCCACGGGGGTATCTGCACAAGAAAAATCAAAAATTGCTTCTTCTTATTGTAACTTAATAATGAAAAGGGGATATATACACTTTATAAAGTAATACCTCTGTGTAGGTAAACACAGTGAAGTACAGTAAAGGCAAAGGATAGGGTTTGTATTGGCAGGTTGGGGGACCACTTAAATTAGAAAAACCTTCATGGCAAACGAGCTGCACAGGACATCTCTCAGCTGGACAAATTTTCTTTCTGCTCCCATCTGATTTTATAGAATATATTATTTGCTGTTTTATTGAGGAAACAGATAAGTTTTTCTTGGCTTGGTGTTGTTTTTAAAATAATAAAAAATATCAAGGTTGAACTATATCACTGTTTTGTACTGAAGTATTCAAAATTTCTACTTCCATTAACATTTTTTCCTATCACAGAAGAAAAAGCCCTCAAGCAGGTAAAAGCTGCCACCATAGAAAAAACAGGTAAATAAGGTATTTCATATATTTCTTCTGTGTATCAGTTTGATATTATGTAGGTACGCATGCACACAACTTCACAAAAGTGTGCAGACTTTTAGTTCCATAAAATTCTTGTAAATAACTGAAGATATACACAATATAATTTTTTTTTACTAAAAGATAATAAAAACTAGAGTGGCATAACCATATTTTTTAAAAGTGTGATTGACCTAAGCTTACATGTAATTCATGAGGAAATCTATGTAATGCATTGATACCATGTACTCTTAGGTGTTTAATCTCATTTTCAACCCCCATTTCCTCACATCTCACAATAACAGAAATCTGAAACTTTCTGCTATTTATAAATTTGCTGAAATAATTTCATAAGCTCCATAGAATGTACGTGTTTATATAACTTTTAAAATCTGCCTTAAATAATGATCAGCAGAATACATAATATTAAAGTATAAACAATCTGGCCCTCATTCCTTCACGTGAAGAGAAAAAAGAGTTCACACATTCTTGCAATTCTGGAGTCTTTTCTATAAGGACAATGAAATTCAGCTGAAGTCTTGAACCAATAAATCTCCATTTGGTTCCAAAATGGAAATTCTACCCACCTTGGCCATTTAGAGAGTCCCATCTCTTATTAATAATCATTTTAATATTAAAAAGTCTGTGAAGTAATTTTTTTCCTTTAATTGAGATAATCAGGTAATAAGAATTTAAATGCAGTTTCTTAGAGGAAAATATAATAGAATTCAGGAGAGAACTAATTATTTTAAAATTATAGACAATTATTTCATAAGAAAGAAAGCTCATGTGGCCATTTTCACATTACCTCATATGATCACTGGACTTTATTCCACTCATTGCCTAAATTCGTAATATTGGTAAACATTCCTCTAATTTATTTGCACCCAAAAATGTTCATCTGGCCCCCTGAATATCTCATTCAGTTATATGAATGCTTGAAAATTATGAGGAAACTAGCTCAATGTATTTGTGTTCCAAATATATAGTCTTAAATTTTATGTGCAATTCCTGTGTCTTTCAGTTTTTTGCTAAGCAGTATGATTAATGTTTTTGCTGACACTGAAATATTAGTACTCAGAGAAAATAGTTTAAGCTTAAGCTAAGGAGAGAACCTAAAACTAAGAATGAATGAATAGAAACACTAAAGAATTATTTCTTCTGTAGTTTATACTCATCAATATGCCATTCATTTTCCTCCATTCTCCACAGTCAAGCCCAAACCAGCAAGTAAGCAATGAAAAGAATAAAACCTGAGAAGTATTGCTTGACCATTTCAACTTTAACAATTTGCTTGTTTTTCTTTGTTATTTTTAGTGCTGCCTGTAGCTAAACTACCTGTATAAGTCATAAATGAATGTTATAGCTTTGATTTAACATCCTTCTCTTTCACTACTAATTAATGATTCATTATAATTACAAGGAAAAAATATCTTGAAGTTTTAGGTGGGAAATCTTTTAAACATACATAATGAATAACAAAGAAAAATGAAACGATACTCAACTGTCGGTGTTATGAATCACATTGTTTTTAATTTGCTTTAAGCTGCATTAATTATGCTATAGGTTTAGACTTCTTCATTTATAATCCATAAAATTATAAACACTTTACTAAGCATGTATTAAAATCATGGAATTTCGTCATGGGCGTAGATTTTAAAGATCATCCATTTCACTGTCAGGTATGATGCAGACATTACAGTGACAGAGAGTTTAAAAGGTGACAATTAAGCTCAGAAAGGCCTGAACATTTGCCCCATTGTCGCATATGTGGTAAATGTATCCAACATTTTGAAAAATTGTGATGTTCTTCCTTGAATGACGTATATTTCTGAAACATAAAGTTAGATGAAGGCATTGAGTGGCTATTGGTTGAATATATTCTGACTTCTGCATGAAAAATGGATTGTCAAGGTCCCTAGAGGAATGTGGGAGACCAGTTAAAAGGCCATAAAAGTGGTTCAGGAGATATGGACAAATGTACAAAGCATAATATTCACATCCTAGTATCTCTGCCATGTGTTTTTAATATATATTTTGTATTATTGTTACTTTGATTTATTATACTTTTGTAGTGAAGTTATTATGACAGTTTAATAGTTTGAATATTGGGTTCTTAATTTTCTTTCATTTTGAGTGCTTATTTAATATTAACATTTATGCAAATTTAGTTCATGGAAGTTCATTCTTGAATGCCATCAATCCCTAAATTACAAATACCCTGTTTAAGCTTATGACACTAGGAGTACCACATCTGCCCACCTACTTCTGTTGGTGCATAATGTTGGAAAAAAATAGTAGTAGTTTTACAGCATCTCCAAATTCAGGAGTGAGGGAAAGAAAGAACAGGTAAACATCCAGAACATCTCAGGAGGACTAACACTGGAGGTCATTAGAAAGAACTAATACTTGGCCTGTTTTCAGTGATCAGCTCAATTTCCAAATATTCTTAATACCCTACCCTATATGGCTTCATTTCAAATTCCACATTTGATGAAAGAAAGAGATCTCTTATTATTTTTTTTAATTCAAGTGTTTTTCAGAGGGTTGTGGGGGATGTCAGCTACTCAGAAATTTTGATTCCACTTCTTATGTCCTAGAATTAGTTGAGATTCAACTGTGAGAATTCTAACTGGACCTGGAAAGGGAGGGTGGTACAGGACAATGAAAATACAAGATGTGGTGCTCTCTGGAATACAGCAGATCTAGGTTACATTTTCAACAAGAAAGTAAGGTTCAACACTAAATTACTTCAGACCTGACAAGAAGGGAAGTAGGAATCAGAAAGGCAAAAAGAGTCGATAACATGCCAAAGGCAAATGTCATCTACTTTAAAATATCCCCAAGGAATGACTCAACCTTCAGCGAAGAAAGAGAGAAAAATCTTATTCTCGTATTTGGCGTATTCTATCTTCTTCTTATACCACGTGGCCTCAAAAAGACTAGTAACCTAGGACTGCCTTTTAGCTACATATAGGGGAAAGCCTTTTATAGTGTCCTGAGAATGAACTTCGCCTTGTTTATAATGTGTTTCTATGGCAATATGCTTTCTGTGTTCCAAGTTGCATGAAAATGACTTTGGGAGCACGTCTCCTGTGTAAACTGAGAATCACCTGCAAATATATAAATAAGAAATGCTTAGCACACAAAGAATCCAGATTGCCAGTGAATCTTGATTTCTCTTTTTAGAAAAATCTGAACAACAAGAAAAAGAGCCTCTGTCTATAAAAACAGGTAATTTTTCCTTTTTTGGCTTATATTCTATCTTAATGCACTATTTTTATTAAATTTGAAAAAAAAGCAACACATATAAGTGTTTTTTATTTTGCTTTCTGGTAGTGTTTAGTCTTCTGGTTTTGTAGTATAATCTACTTTATCTGACATAAGGGCTGTGGTATAGTCAATTAAGCACGAATTGCCAAATATACTATTATAATACAGCAAAATTAAAAATTAGATTTGCTTTCATAATTCACAAATTCCTTCCAAAATATTCAGTATTTCACTGTTGTCAATATTAATATTGTGTATTATGCTGATGAGGTTGATTCACTGTTTGTAGTTTATAAATATTTTATCAAATTACACATGTTAAGTTTGTGAATTTCAGTGTGATATATATATTTTTTATTTTATTTATTTTATTTTTACATTCTATGATGTTATTGTAGAGCAGTTGGGAGGGAGAGGGAAAGGGGAAAGGAGATGGAAAGGGGATGGAAATGGGATGGAAGAAGGAGGAAGGAGGAGGGGTGGGATTGAGGCCTGTGGCACCCTCCACATTCCCACAGGGGAGACTGGTGGGCTTCCAGTGGTGGCTTGGTTATTGTAAGGCTCTGCACAGATGTCAAGGGGGTGTGGCAATAGCCCTCGCCCCCCACCACCCCAGCTCAGGAACTGGGGGCCCTTCTTGCTGAGGCTTGCTGGTCGCCACTGGGCTAGTTGAGTGTGGGGAGAGGGGGACGGTGGATGAGGCCCTGGGCTACCCACTGCCCCAGCTTAGGAGAGCCCCGGGCATTTTCTGCTGTGGCTTGGTTGTCACTGGGGTGGTTGCACTTGTCAAGGGTCTGTGGCCAAGCCCTTGGCCCCCATCCTTGGGACTAGTTATGGGTGTCAGTGGGGCATAGCTGAGGACCCTGGCCCTCCCCCCTTCCTGGCTTGTTAGCACAGGGGACTTACGGTCCTTCAAGGTGTTATAGGTGTTCTTTGGTGAAATGAGACATTTACTAATTATCAAACTTTGTCTCTGGTTGTGGGTACGTTGGCTTTTTTTTTCAGTTTTGTGTTGGATTATTTGCTGTTCCCACCACTTAAACTCTGCACTGGAACTAATTTGTCCTTTTCTTACTTCTAAAATGGGGGAACTTCCTGCAGGGACCAGTACTTGAGCTCTGTGGTTGAGCTAAATTGCTGCTGTGCTGCTGATTCCCTAGGAAAGGCTTTTTGTGCAGCTCAGGTTTTAATGGTTGACTTTATAGGTACTTCAAGATCTGGTGAAATCTGGTGCACCTGGGTTGTATAGAAACTCTGGTCTGGGCCTTAGTCCTTTCATCAAACTGCACCCCTTGCAATTCCATATTCCTGACCAGTCTCCTCTGAGTGGTCCTATGGTGACTGGGGGGCGGATCAGCTGTCCTTGCTGTGCCCAGAGTTCCTCCGGTGGGCCCGTCTCCCTTACCAGTGATATGTTTTCTTAAAATAGATGTTATCACATTCTATAATAGTTAGCTTAATTTAAAAAAAAATATTATTCAATTTTTAAAATATGTAATACTTCACATGGTTTGAACACTAAGGCACATAGGAAGCTCAAATGTCTCTTTCTTTCTTTTCCTCTATTTTACCAGTTCCCATCCCCCAAATATCCAACAGTATCAATAGGTAATCACTTATTTCTTAACGTATCCTCTAGTATTTTATATATATATATATATATACACACACACATATATATATACTTATAAACGTATATACATTCCCCCTTTTCTTTTTCTTACACAGATCATGATATTTTATAAATAGTTCTGTCCCTAGACTTTTGTATCTAAGAATGTATCTTAAAGAATTTTTTATATCAGTACATAAAGAATTTCCTCATTAATAGTATCCTATCATACAGTGGTATACAGTTTACTAAACTAGTCTCTGATTGACATGTGTTTAGGTTGTTTTAGAAACTTTCTTTAATGATACATAATAATAAATATATCATATCTACCTGTCTAGTTTTGTTAATTCATCTGCGGGGTAAAATCTCTTAACAGAATTTTTTAGTGAAAAGGTATATTCAATGTAGATTTTGAAGATATTCCTAATTGTTCTCTATAAACGTTGTAACAATTTATATTCCTAGTATTAAAGTACTACTTGACCTAATTTTCGATGGATCAAATCCTTCCCAATCATAGCCAAATATTGCCTACTATATTATGAACAAATAGAACTTTAGATGTAAGACTGCACAATTAATGTTTTTAATTAATAATTTCAGAAGACAGGCTATATTGTAGAAAGAGAGAATGTATTTATATGGAATAGTTTTTCACCTACCACCCATTTATTTTTCCTGAGATTTTATAAAGTCAAATTTTTCATTCAAAATACTGGATTGGGAAAGTTTAAATTGTTAATATTAATTAACATTAATATGTATTATGAAAGTATAGTGGTAGAATATGCATTTTATGTCATTCAAAAATAGTAAATATTTTAGATTGTGAGCATTCATATTGCATCAAATCAAAAATGAAGTTAGACAGGGATAAGGAGCAAACCAAGAAGATTCTATAGTTTCAAGCTTTACAACTGTTCTATGGGGATTTCTTTGGCAATATGACTTAAAATTACTCGAAATGCATTCCCTATTGCTTATGTTAATGTAAGTTCAGTCTTATTCCTATTTTAACTATAGAAAAACAAAGGAGGAAATATAAAGAGGTGATATATTACCTATAGGTAGAAAATTACCACTCATTTTCTTTTCTTATTTTCTTTTTAGACAAACCAAAACCAACTTCTAGTAAGTGTACCATTTTAGAATTGTAAGGATATGCTATGTGGTATGTTTATTAATGTAATAGTCTTTATGCTATTACCTATATAAGTGGTTCTTATTGAGAAAGGACATTGTGTGCATTCCATTCATTAATCCTTGGATTATTAATCCTTAGACATGTATTTATTGAACACCTACTAGGTATATTACATTGTACCATGATATGGGAGGGAATGCCTAAAATGTTTTCTGTTGTCATACCTGTGTAATTAACACATTTACCATGGTAACTAATACCTGTGTAAAAAAAGTAGCTGTATCTCTCTTTCACCCACTTTCAGTTGTGTGTTAGGGTGTACTGAGTAGAGAGAGTATGAAGATCCCTCTAATAGTCACTGTGATGCCTGTCCTCAATTATTTAATGTCTGCATATTAGCTTTTTATTTTATTATTTTTTCAAAACCTTGAGATACATTGTTTTTAGTAATTCAGAATCACTGTTTTATTTGATGCTTCAAACAATAATAAAAATGCAACAGTAAACAATGAAATTACTTATTCGATACTATTAAAATATGACCCAGATTTAACCCTCGGGTAAAAATATGTGCATTTTAATCAACAGTGTGTCTAGAAGTTGTATTTAAAGTTTTTAAACACCCAAGGGCTAATTTGTTTTCTTAACAGTATTATAATAGATTTCTTAAAAATGCAGCTACAATTTTCTTCTGAATAGATTTCAATGCCAATCTTAAAACATTAAATATTGCCTTCGGGTTGGAGAAAATCTCTAGTATATTTAGTTTGCATTGTTACTACTGATGTGAAGAGTATTACTAAAATTAAGGGTTGAGAGTCAAAACTAGAATGCTAATATAAAATATCACCATAAAGTTGTTTGAAAATATTGTTTTATTTATGAAACATTATTCATTCTCTCTCTCCATTATTATAAAATATTTTAATTTATTATTCTAGAATTTAGAAAAGAACTTCTAAAAAACTTTTGTAAGACTGACAACTAAATGTATTAGGTTTATAAAAAACATTGATATTTTAAGAGATATATTTCTTACAGTTTTAAAATGTTCTCTTAATCAAAGAAGTTTTATTTTCTGGAAATGTTATCATTAAAACTGTTTGCAAAGGAAAGATTTTTCTTAAAACTTGCCAGGTTAATTTAGGTGTATTATTAGTCTAAGAATTTACTTAAGAAACAAAAATTAAGGCTTGCTCTGCAATATCATCTGCCAAAGATGAGTATCATTTTATGTCTTGTCTCACTTATCAGACTGTAGATTCACTATAATATAAACCATTGTTTCTGTTATATTTTTCCACCTTATCCCACAAGCTCACTCAATTGCACTTGGTACAGCATCTTATAAATGAAGTTGCTTTAATAAGTATTCAGTGAATGAATGCATGCATGCATCCATGAAGATCAAGTTAAGGTTTTACATAATACAGGTTTATAATTTATAATTAAAAAGCCAACCAAATGATTTAGAATAGATTAATTCCATGATATTTGAATAGACTGTTTTAGATTAGTTTGTAGAGTGATTCTATTTTCAGAATAGATATCTAGTAACAGTTTTCAGAAATATTATCAGTGTGTTTCTTTGCCATTTTGAGTATATGTGTCTATTGTCATGATTGTTGAAATTTAATAGGAAATACCTGAAGATAAAACTCAATTGTCTGGTAATTAAAAGAAAACAAACAAAAACTCTTATTTTTCTTTCCTTTTAATTTCTTTTTCTTTTTTCCTGTTGAATTCTTTTCTAAAGAAGGAATATCAGAAGTTACAGGATCAGGTATGTATTTACTTTTGCAGAGGATGTAACATAGAGCATGGGAACAATAAGTAAATTTATGTATCTATCTGTGTAACATTTAGAAAATCTCTTGACTACTCAAATCCCTGGTTTTCTCGTCTACATTACTGGCATGATGACTTCACAAAACGCTTATTATAAGCAGTAAATAAAATAACATATGTCACATTCTCACCACATACTTGGTTGTCACTCACTAAATATTGGGTTTTTTCTCACTTTTGTCTGAAAAATGGAGATGAAGAAAATCATCAATCAACCAAGACTCTGTTTCAAAAACTGTATTCACATTTTGTATGGAGATATTATGGGACTCTTTCATTATTTTCATTTATTTATTAAGCATCCATTGCACCACTCAAATCTTTATTTTCTAAAGATAAAAATAGAAAATGTAGATATTAAACATACTAATAAATGCATGACTTACTCTAACTTCGCTTCGAAACATGTAAGAAAAATGGAGGGGACTCTGCCAGAGAGGTGACTGAATGTAAGCAGAATGACCAAGCTTAACAGAAATTGTATGTTCTCACACATTGGAGGGAGACTCTCTCCACATCTTGAAATAGTAGAGCCCTCACCTCACCTACTGTTTACTCCAAGATTGAGTAAGAAAATCATGTTTATTAAGATGATGATTTCTTTTTGTTATTTTCCCCCTAGGAAAGAAGAAATCTGAAAAATCTGAAAAGGAAAGTAAAGGTAAAGATGACGTTTTAAGATGTACATATCAAATTAGTCTTTAAAACAAAAGAATAAAAATACATAATTATATAAATTATGTCACTTAAAAGCAATTTGTGAAAATGTGGACAGTAGTTTTATAGCACATATCAGAATTGCAGTGCATCCATGCGGAAGGTGAGATATGACATTATTATTAAATATCAAAAGGGAGGAGGAATTTAGAATCTAAAGCAATCTCTACTTGTTATTCCTAAATTAACACCATGGGCTTCTTTTCATATGACTCCTAAAATGTGAATATTGACTATACAAAATTTAATTCCAAACCTTAAGACTTATTAATAAATATGATACATTATTCTAAATTACCATTTCTTCTCTACAGAAAAAGCAGAAGTGAAGCATCCTAAAGAAGAAAAAGGTAATTTTCGAAAAGAATGAAAAACATAATGCAAAGTCTTGAAGCCAAAATATTTTTTTTTTCCTTTTTGTTTTTTTTACTGACCGGTAACGGGATCGCAACCCTCGGTGTTGCGCCCGCACCACGCTCAGCCAGTGAGCGGGAACTGGTCTCCACATGGGATCCGAACCCTTAGCGGGAGCGCCACCACGCTCCCAAGCGGCGCACTCTCCAGTGTGCCACCGGGCCGGCCGGAAGCCAAAATATTTTGAATCAACATTTATTCATATAATTTGCAAATAAAGCTTTTATTGATGTATGTGATGAGTGCCAGCCTGATTAAAAGAAACGTGGTAGTGGGCTGGCCCAGTGGTGCACTGGATAGTGCGCCGCTTGGGAAGCACGGCGGCGCTCCCACCCGAGGGTTCGGATCCCACATACAGACCGGTTCCCGCTCACTGGCTGAGCGAGGTGCGGGCGCAACACCGAGGGTTGCGATCCCGTTGCCGGACACGGAAAAAAGAAAAAAAGAAAAAAAAAAAAAAAAAAAAGAAACGTGGTAGAAATTGGTGGATGTATGCTAAGGTCAGTGTCAAGGGAGTAATGGATGACAATCCAATTCATCCAAATAAGCGTCCATTTATTGTACCACTGATGAGCATCGAGTTAAAACTAAATCACAATGCTGCTTTTCTCCTTAACATTGGATTTATTTATTTAGTAAACTGTATGATGTAATATAGTAATCGCTGATTTCAATGTGATTGTCTGAAAAACTTACAAAGGCCTTAATTATCAAAGAAATATTCTATTGGATCAGGGGAAAAGCATTCTTAGAAATACCAGAACTATCATCAGTAACAACAACAAAAGATACTTTTTTGTTTATCCTCCACATCAGTTAATCAGAATGCCCCATTTCCCATGGATTTTAGTTAATTTAATCACTACATTCATGTTGTACCTCTGTTTATGCAATAAAACAATCTTTATTGGTAACATTTATTTTTGTAAAGTATTAGTTGGATAGGAGACAGAATTTTTGAAAATCACCTTGAGAAAATATTTACAATAATTAAATTATTCTCATGTTCCTAAATCTTAAAGTGAGGTAAAATTTTGACAAAAATTTACTTTCAAAATTCATATTTTAACTTACATTTTTCTTATAAACAGTTTCAGTAAGAAAAGAAAGTCTTCAATTGCACAATGTGACAAAAGGTAATCTTAAACATCACAAATATTCAAATGTTCTGTTTCTGTGGAAATGCTTGAATTGTGTTGAAGCTAAAAATTAATACTGAGTTTTTTTAAAGCAAGTAAGTCTAGTATATATACATGTCTGCCAATAGCAGAAGTGGATAGATAGCAAATCTAGCAGAAAGCTTACATTTCAATGGCAAATTAGGAAATGTGGAGAAATTGAGACTATTAATAACATACATAAACATTCAATAAAATATTTTAGTGCACGCTAGAAGAAAAGTTTCTCTATTACAAAAGGCTTTGATAGCATGAGTAATGTCAAAAAATGTATAATAGTAAAAACAGCTATAGCTGGGATTTATTTTTTTATGACTAAATAAAATATAGTTAATATCATGAATATACTTTTTATTATTTATAAATTGGCCCTTTAATTCAATCTAGACAGAAAGTGGGCAAATGTCAGCGTGCATGTGGCAGATAGATTTTTTTTTTTTTTTTTTTTTTCTAAAAACAGAATGACCTACTTTAGCTATATTATTATCATAAAATTATGAATAAGGTTTATAACTGAATTATGTAGTCCAGGCAACATAATTTTAGGCTGATTCAATTAATTAAAAATGTGCTTTTAATTCTAAGGTGCCAAGTAAACATACATAACTAAGCCAACTATCTTCGTTCATAGCAAATACATAGACCTCCAGTGGGGGGAGAACAAGCCTTGTTAATCACTTACTCCCTCTTGCTGCTTACTGTAGTATGTATGACTGAGATGGCAGGACATATCAAGACATATAATTTAGACGTAAAATTATTAACAATTTAGATACAAATACCAATAATATTAAGGGGTAAAATTTCCAATGAGAACAAACCACATTTGTAAAATGATATAGGTACACAATTTTTATATTGGAACTTTCTCCAAAATATTATTTAATATCTTTTGAGAGAATCAGCCAGAAGGATGAGAAGAAATGAATTACTTAAAAAACCAATTGCTGTATGCTTTCGTATTATTAGTTCATTTAATCCTTAGTAAAGCTTATTTATCATGCCCAGTTTAAAGATGAGATAAATGCAATGAAGGGAAGTCTAACATCTCAGAGTGCTCACAAGATAGAGAAATGTTTTGATTCTAGTTGGTATGACTCCAAAGACCATAATGGTTAAGCCCACGCAGTCACATTTCACTGTACTATCACACCGTTGAAAATATAAGGGAAAGCTTCCTACTAGTCAGAGCAGCCCAAAGATTAAATGCACCTTACTTACCCTCCCCCCCAGGGGAGTGGTCTATTAGAGCTATGGCTGGAGGCCTCCCTTGTAGCCTGCTGTACAAGGATGTGAGCCCATCATTTCTAAAATCTTCATATTATGAAAACACAGTAGAGAAAAATAATTTTATATGAAAGCACAAGTCTAACCCATAGTTAGTTGAAAGTAGTCATATTCTTATGCATTTATTCATTCAACTGATAGTTCATTGCATCTCAATAAATATTTATTTTATTTCTTTCTAAGTTCCTGTCTTCCTAGCCAATGATAGTAATTTTAAAGAAAAAATAAAAAATAAACACATGGAAGTCTTAGTTTTTCTAATTTTTCTTAATTGTTTTATTTTTTGTGTGATTTTATGCATGAGGTATGCTGCTGTGATATCACTAAAAGCATAAGTATCCCAGCTGAAAATGTTTTTAAAAAAACTTTCTACTGGCATAACTTAATTTTTGTAAATTTGTAATTCTTAGGTTTACATTAAAAACTAGAAATCTCAAAGTAAATCATGTAATGCAGATTCCTTTTTAAAAATTATGTTTTCAAGCTTGGATTTTTAAATTAGACCAATGGTAGAATGATGTTACCAGTCTTCTTTTTCAAGAAGGTAGAATTTCTGATACAGTATTTAGGAAAATCATCTTACCTTACATCTTTTATTCCACATACATACAGCTAAATAAAAAGAATTAGTTTAAAGAATAATAATCTCTCATTGAAATAAATAAATTATTGGGAAAAATTAAACTGATTTTGCCTGTTGCATTTTTAAGATTTACTTATTTTACAGTCTAATTGGTCATTATTTGTCTTTATTCATCTTTGAAAGGAAAATAATTCTCAATAATAAATTTTATGAAATTTGGAAATTTTAAGACAGATAATTAGATTAATTACATCTTACAAAGTAATTTTATTCATGTTGGGTATAATTAGAGTTGAACCAAAACACTTAATTTAACAAGGATCCTGTTGATTTTAGTGAGAGTGTTTAAAAATTGTAAATATATTGTGACACCTGAAATGATTAATAACTTTTTTATAGTTTACATACTTTAAAAGAGATTAAATAAGATACTCATACACATGTTCACAGGCAACAGAAAGTTATATTTCTTCATTAACTCTTAAGCAATAAGAAAGAAACTTAAAAGATATTACTTTTATATAGTCTATTGATGCATAACTCCCCTTGCATTTTATCTCAGTTAACATTGATTTTTTTTCTTTTTTAGCAGAAAAACCTGCAGGAGTATTAAGTAAGTACTGTTTTTATTGATAATAATTTCTCCCCAGAAACTTGCTCAAAGGCAAAACATAAGATAAAACAAAGGAATGAGAAAATATATTATTAAAAGGCAAACAATGCAGAGGGAAGGCCTTTACCTAGATGAGTCACAAGGCTCTTGACTTAGCTGAGTGGCCTTGACAAAATTCTTAGGGCATGGATGTTAGAGCATCAGGGAAAGAGATTTTATAGGCATCCATAGTTCTTCTGTTGTTATTGTCTGGTAGTCAACATTTAAGTAATGCTAGGTCGGCTTGCTCCTCAAAATGAATATTCCAAATGGAGTAAAGTAGTAAAAACATTTCTTGAGACCATTCTATGTGGAGGTTTAACTTTGACATCTTTTCCTGTGACATTTTTCCAATCATGAAGAGTGAGCATTTAGCCAATAACACTACACTAAAATTACCTGCAGGCCCACAGGTTTGGGATCGTTATAAAGTCTCTGAGATCAAATTTTGATATTAGTCTGAGATATTGAATTTAACTTTGATATGGCTATACTGATTAAATTTAATTTTTTTTAGAAGTTAATAGCTTTTTAATGAAACTTCAACCAGGTCTAATAGAAGACTAGCAAGGATTTCCTTTTTGTTAAAACAACTTTCTTCATATCTTACTTTTGCAGTTTTTTAAAAAAAGTTTCTAACTTTTTATACTCTCATTTGTTTCTTGGTTATGTATTTTTTTTTTCTTCTTGCATGAATATTGTAAGTGAATAAGTAATTTGCTTCAATATTAGTATATGATGGCTATTTTATATGTCAGCATAAAGCTACCTTGGAAATTAGTCTGAAATTTTAAATAAGCATAAGGCAAAATTAAATAAT